ATCGCGCTCCGTGCCCGCCTGTGCCTGCGAGGCCGGCCGGGACGGCCGCGGTGGGAGATCGCGCATCCCTGCCGAGACCCCCGGCGGGAGATCCCGCGTCCCTGCCGAGACCCCCGGCCCCCGCTCGCTCCCGCCCGGCTGTCGGGCGAGGGCCCTGCGCGCTTTGTGTCGCCGAGCGCCGCGGCCGCGGAGCCAGTCCCGCCGCCCCGTGTTTGCAGAGCCGCGCTCGGCGGAAGGCGCCCTATCAGGATAAGAGTCCCCGCCGCTGCCGCTGCCGCCAGTCCGGCCCCGGGGCGGTGGGAGGCGCCGGCTCCGCCGATGGCCGCGTTTATCGCGCCGGTGGCCTCGCCAAACCATTTAACCCTTGGCGCCCCTCCGCGGGGCTGCCCCTGGGCTCCGGCTCTCCTGGCCCTACCGGCTGGCAGGGGCAGAAGTTCCCTCGCAGCTCTGGCGCCGGTAAACCTTAGCCTTTTCTCGGTAGCAGTGTCCCAAGACCAGGGACAGCCAAGCAGGGCCCCATGCAGAGCAGTCCAAATACCTCTAGAGCAGGTAGCAAAGGCCATCTGAGGCTAGGCAGCTGTGGTAGGAGTGAATCCCATGCCAGGATTCCAGCAACATCAGGACTATGTGGAGCTGAGATGATTTCCCTAGGGCGGTGTGCATCTGAGCTATTGGGAGGATAAGGCTGGCATTCAGAGTGTTCAGGAGTAACAAGAAGGGAAGAAGACTTGAAGAGCTGCATCGTGCCTGCACACATACAGGCATTAGGAATGCATCAGGCATCCAAGCAATAGCAAGGCAACCAGGATGCTGAGTCTTGGTGTCATTGTGATCCTGGAACCGTGTCAAGAGTTTGTCTTTGCTAAATGACGGTCTGTCAGCCATGCTGAAGCTGCAGCAGCAACAACAGCATATTTTCATTTGGAAAGAGGATGTCTCAGTTTGATTAAATTCTCCCTCAGTACCTCAGCACAGGCTGTGTTTTGCTCAGCTCTAGCGTGACAGTACTAAGCAGGAGACTCTGGCTGGCTGCATTGCTTCACGTGTTGTCTTTGAGCTTCCATGTTTCTTGTGACTGCAGTGGGTGAACAGTCTTGGTCTGTTGGAGGTGTGATAGTTAATAAAGAAAGGTGATCCTGTGTAAAAGGAGACACCAAACTGGGCACTTCTGATGCTGTCCAATTCCATGTAGACAATGGAACACGCTGTCTAGGCAGCTGCAGAGGTGGCAAAGGTAGTGCAAGCTCCTTGCAGTGGCCTGCTGCTGCTGGCTGCCCTGCTCAAACTCCAGTGAGCATGAAATGAAGGAACCCATTCTTCCCCAGCTGACTGCAGGGTTGGGGGAAGACCTGGGGCCTTTCCTAGGCTGGCTGTTTTTCCCTTTTCCCTGAGCAATGGCTTTGTAGTACCACCAAAACAGAAGTGGGATTGAGACCTTGCAGTGCAGTGCAAGGGGGATCAGGCACATCACGGATTTGTGAGACTGTGGGATAGAATCTCTGCTGGTGTCTGAGCAGAAGAAAAGGACACTTTGGCCAGGAGTCTGCATAGGCATGGGCAGGACTCAGAACAGCCTGGGAAGAGATGAAAAGATGTTTTTAGGCCTGTGTCTACCTCAGCAGTAGCAACATAGCCTCTTCCATCTTCTTGCTGGACCATTGCCTTTCTGTGGGAGAATACAGGATGAATCTGTGAGCTAGGTCTGTGGATTTAATGCTGGACTACCACCAGCTCCCTGCTCCATAGCTATGTGGATCAGCAAAGCAGGGAGCTGCTCCCAAAACAGGCATTTCACAGCCCCAGACTCGTTTCCTTCAGCACAATTTGTCTGGACTCTTCTATCTCTGGGGCCTCTGCTGGGGATCTGCTGGAGTGATCCACTGGGGAAATGCTTCGCAAAGAGGCAGCCCCAGCTAAATGTGAATCACATAATTAATTCCGGTACAGTTAATTGGACCTAATTAATCATATTCATAAGTATAATGAGGGCCTTGCCCACAGGGGTCTTGTGAAGGTCTGAGCTTAGGGCTGGCGTTCTGGAGAGTCAGTGGGAATGAACAAATCCCAGAGCCTTGGACATAGCTTAGGACCAGCTCCCTGCTGGCAAAACAGGACAAGGCAAATCCTTCGAACCCTGTAGCCCTGTATTCTCTGTATCCCATAGAGGTAGAATGTGTCAGGAGCTTCTGGGTGGTCAGTCACAATCTTCCCAGGGAAGGCTGGAGTCACTGTCATAGATGGCCCTCTCTTGGTCCTTAACTATTCAGGGAGGTCCTTAACTATTCTGTTTTGTATGTTGTATGTAAGTTTTGTGGTCCAAAGGCAGGAAAAGGAGCAGGTAACAGCCAAGTCTGGGTATCTTGGCTGGGGCTTGCTAAGGTGCTGCTGTACCAGGCAGCTCCTGGAATGAGCTGCTACCGTGGTGGTGGTGGCTTTGAGGAGCTCCAAGGAATCTGCTTCATCATCTCCTCTCCTGTCTTGTCTCTCCTAGCATGGACATAATTATAGAGGACGGAAGGGGAGACTGGGAGTCATCATCAAGTGCAGGGAGGGTAGCTAGCCTGGCAGATGTTAATTAAAGGTAGAGCTCTGAAAGCAGCAGGCTCTGCTGAACCAATAAGCAGCTGGTCCTCTTGCTGACCTTTCCCAGTCTTGCTTTGCCACTTCCATGTGTGCAGGCTGGGAGAGGTGTGAAGGTCTGTGATGTAAAAAGCCCAGAAGGTATGAGGGAATGAGCAGGAAGAGGGAGGCAACCAGAGGACGCAGAGCAGAGGTGGTTCCAGGTGTCCCCTATGCACCACACCTGGCTGGAGGGAAGGAACTGCCTGTCTGCCTCTGGCACTGAGCTGTCATGCCAAGTAATGGTGGCTGGGCACTGTTTTTAACCCACTGCGCCTGTGCATGCCGTCTGCAGCAGCATGAACCCAGTGCTGCTACTGGGAAGGATGAAAGTGTGAAAATATGTCACTGCTTGCTGATGAGGAACTTGGGAGTTCACCAAAGAGGCAACGAGATGTATGGCCTCAGCACTCCCCCAGAGGGGTCTATCTTCCTTCGATGGCTGGTGCAGGCAAGCGATGCTCGATGCAGAGGGGTTCCCAGTGCCTGCCCACTGCGGCCCCCCGAGGTAAAACCCAGAACATCCGCAACCCGCCCCCTGCGTCTGCTTCGGCGTCGGGTGCTTTCCACAGGCGCTTCTGCAAACGGGCGAGGCCGCCCTGTGCCAGCTGCCTAAGAGGCGCCTGCAAAGCCTCATGTCGCGACTTTTCAGTCGGGGTTGGGAGCAGCCGGCTCTTCGCCCTCGCTCGCTCCCTCCCTTTTACAGCAGCCCCGCTCTTCGCTGGGCCTCGTTGCAGCCCCGTCTGCCCGTGGGGAACGGGAGGGCTCCGCCGCATGCCCCTCATGCGCCGTGGGGAAGGGGGGCGCAGGGTTCCGCCGGCAGCCCCGCCCGCCTGCCCGTAGGGAGCGGAGCCCCGGTGCCGCCGGTGCCGGGAGTGGGCGGGGCGGGGCCGAAGTGGGCGGGACCGGGCGGGGCGGGGCGCTCGCGGCCCCGGCCCACCGGGAGCTCTCGCCCCGCGCCGGCAGGGGGCGCTGCCGCGCGCCGCCCCCGGCTCTGGGGGCTGACACCCCCCCTTGTCCCCCGTCCCCCGCGGCCGCCGTTCCCTCCTCGCCCCGGTTCGGGCGCTGCGGGTGTGAGCACAGGGGCGAGTCTTGTGTTAATTTTCAACCGAGGCCGCTGCCTCCCGTCAGTGGAGCTGGATTGTTTGTCTCCACATCACCTTGAGCACTGCAACTCTGGGGACGCTGGCAAGTGGTCCCTGCCTCCAGCCCTCTCCTCCCGGCCCCGCTCCTGGGCGGCTGGTGCGCTTCAGGCAGGAAAGCGACACGTCCTGGTTAGGATGTTGGTGGCATCGCCCAGGAGCGGGCAGGCTGCCCCCACAGTCTGGTATGCATGTGCAGTGTGTGGCTCCCGTCCGTGGAGTCTGTTGCTCAGGGCAGGAGGGTGGTTAATGCCTGGAAAACTTGTTGGTAAAAATAATAACATGCTGCTCTTCTCAAGGCCGGAGCCAGTCCTTGTGCCTTGTGTGTAAAATTACAAAATATTCTGAGTTGGAAGTGACCCACAAGGATCATCGAAGTCTGCTCTGGGAGATGCAGCAAAGATGGGATCAGGTGTGGGACCTCCCCGGCACAGTGAGGCTCGAGAGCAGGACTCGCAGGGTGTCGGCCTGAGCAGAACGGGTGTTTCGGATGATAAAAGGCAGAAGGATGCTCAGCAGGAGCAGTCCCCGTGCTGTCGCGGGGAGGAGTGGGATGCAATTCTGCAGGTCCCGGCAGTGCTGAGACCCGTGTGCCATCGCGTACATGTCTGTGCGATTCGTGGGTGTGCGACACCTGGACGGCCACTCGCGGGGCGCCGGCCACTCGTCGCGGGAGGCCCGGAATGGGCGGCGGTGCCGATCCCGGTCCCCGGCGGCCGTGCCGGTCGCGGGCGGTGCCGCTGGGCGGCCGGCAGGGCGCCCGCGACCAGGAAGCGGTTAATCGGCGCGCGGGGCTTTTATTTTGACAGGGCAGCGCCTGGCTCCGGCTCGGAGGAAAGTGAATGATCCTGTTTCTCCAAATGATTATTCAGGCTCCGGCGGAGAAAGGAGCACTCGGCCCGCAGCGCCTCGCCCTCGCCACGGCGCCCCCGCCCGCGCCCGGGCCGCCGCGCCCGCCGGCTCCGCTCCCCGCCGCCCGCGCCCGGCCGCCCGCCGCAGCGCGGGGAAGCCGTCCGCGGCCCGGGGCCGGGCGGGCAGCCGGGGCTCGCCGCGGCCGGACGCCCACCCCCGCCGGCGGGCGCGGGCTGGAGCCGCCGGCTCGGTCGGCGGAAGGAGCGGCGCGGCGGGGCGGGGGGAGCCGCCGGCAGCGGCCCCGACCCCGCGCCCTGCGGCGGGCGGCCGAGCCATGAGCGCGGCCCGCGCCGCCGGCCCCGCGCCGCTGGCCGGCCCCCAGCAGCCCGCGGAGCCGCGCCGCGCCGCCCCGGCGGGCTCTCCCGGCCTACCCTGAGCCGCTCCGCCGCCGCCGAGGTGAGTGCCCCGCCAGGCCCGGGCAGCCGCCGTCCCATTGTTCCGCCCCGGGGGGGAGCCGGGGCTCCGCGCCGCCCCCGCACCGACCCCTTGCTTCGCGCAGCCGGGCCCGCCTCGGGGCTGTCATCCGGCCGGAGCGGCGGCCGGGAGCCGCCGTCCGAGCGAGCCGGGGGCTCCGGGCTAGCCGCCGTTCCGTAGCTGCCGGGGGCGGCGATAACTTGGCGGGGGGACGGCGCCGGCCTCGGCTCGGCCTACCCGCCGAGTCCGGCCGGCTGGGGATGAGCTGTCAGCGCTCCCGCTTGCCTTGGACATTGCCCCTGCGCCGCGGGACCCTGCCCGATTCCCTCTCACGTCTCGGGGACCGCTCTTACCAGGTCCTTGTCACCTATTGCTGCTGCGGCCGCAGGCGATTCCTCGCGGACAAAAGTGCCTCGTCTGGGGCTTTTCTCAGGTGCAGAGAACTTAATCGAGTTCCGTCTGGTTTTACCGGAGCGGGTCTGGATTTTGCAAGACGTTTTCGGTGCTATTAAAGCCCCGGGGAGGATGGGAACTTGCCACGTTTCACGCAGAGTTTAAACAAACACTCCTGTCAGGGACCATCCTAACTGTCAGGGGAGACCTGTCCCCTCTATTTGCAGTATTCTACTCGATAGGCTTCTGTTCCCTGTTGAGATAAATCAGGCGTGCGGTCAGCTTGGACGAAAAAGAGAGAAACACCACCTGTACATGCGTATTCTTCTTGCGCACAGAAAGGAATCAATGTAACAAAACTCCCCTGCATTGTATTAGGGACGTGTACTTTAGCAGGTGATGAACTTGTTCCAGCCCCGTTCTTGCTGGAATAGGAATGCGAGAAGGATGCATATCTGAACACATAAGTAATGCTACATGACAGGGCAGGCTGTTGTGTTGTTGTGTGTGGCAGCGTCTGCACGCCTTGGGGGCAGCTCCGTTTGACAGAGTGTCAGGCTGCGGCAGCGTACGGTTGTGTCCCGGCTCTGCCAGGCAAAGGGCTGCCAACGGCGTGGCACAGAGGCCAGCCATGCTCCTTCGGCTGCAGAGTGATGCTACGTGAGCCTTAGTGTGTACTCTTGACCTGCAGGATCTGTTCTGCGATTGTGGCTACCACTCATTACCCTGCTGAAATGCAGTTTCATGCCAGGCATGCAGTAATGACATGCAGCTCCTTCCATCCATCAGTCACATACAGGGGCTGTGTGTGTGCCTTGCGTTGCTACTTTGGTGGCAGGAGGGATAAGAACAGTGAGTCACCGAGGAAGTGATTTGCCCAAGGTCACTTGGCAAGGGTGTGTTGGTGCTGAATCAAGACCTCCTTTGACTCTGGTGCCTGTGATAATGCTGGCTGCCACCACACGTGGGTATGTAATACCCCAGGCTGGAAGCAGTGCAGAAATGGCCAGGTCGATGTTGCTGCCTGATTCTCCTTGGTGGAAAGATGAGGGTATCAGTGTACTGTCTCTACAGCAGCTGTCTGTTCCATTGGGACTTTTGCCAGAGCATACATAACCTAAGTGGTGAAGAACCTTTTTGTTTGTTTTTTAATATGTGTGTTGCCATTTTAGCCGAGCAGGTGGTTGTTCCCTACCACCCTGACTTGCATCCTCATTACCTAGAAAATCCATTTCATGGTGTTTTCCGTGGTGCAGTGTTGTAGGTATTACTGTGTCTCCCTCCCCTGAAAGTCCATTTCCTCTTTCCAGATCCCCACCAGTGCAAAGAAATAAACAGGCAGTAGCTAAAGGAAAGCCTACTTAGAAACGAGAAACCACAGTTGTTGTTCAGTTGAAGAAAGTAAAATAGTTGTTTTGTACTTTTAAGGCCTTTTGCATCTTGCTGTTGGAAGGTGGCTCTCTGGCCACTGTGACAGAGGGCACAGACAGCTGCATGAAGCAACTGGGCCATCACAAAACTGGACATAGCAAGCTCACTGGGCTACGCTGCTCCAGGCAGCTGCCAAGGATGTGCTGGAGTTGCACTTTAGTTCCAGGCTAATTCCAGTGCGCTTTAGTTTCACTTTAGACTCCAGCCCATGAGCTGTGAACTTCACTCATACTGGCCTGGAGTTTCTGAGGTTCAAGCTCAACTCAGCCTTTCACTTTTCTGTCAAGTTGTCAACCCCAGCTGGCATCATGTCCTCCATACTTGCTGTTCTGGGGAGAAAAAAAACATTGCTTTTTCTTCTGTCCCCTGCTGTTCATTCCTGCTGAACACTGTGAGTGCTTTCCCTTCTGTCAGCGCTTGCTCTGTGGAGGGATGTGGAAAGGAGGGATAGCTGGAGAGGAGGCTCTTGGTTCCCTCTGTGGGGAGCACCAGCTGGGTCCTGACCAGTGGCTGTTTCTTACTGCTGTAGAGATGTTGCTCTTTGTTACTCTCTGGTTTGTTTCAGGGTCCCAGAATAGGTGTATATGGTTGTTTTCTCTCTCTTTTACCCCCATCTCTTGTCAGTACAGCGTCCGGTTCAGAACTGGCATCAGAAATTTCAACAGTCACCTTGCTTCCTTGCCTTGCATCAGGCTTTGCTGCTGCTAGGAGGGAAATTTCTTAGCGGTCAAAGTACTCGAGGATGTGTTTGTGTTCCTCGGATGTCCAGATGTGCTGCTGTAATGGGTTTTAATCTGCTCAGGTCTAGTAATTTCCTGGAGATGGCACAGGCTGGCTTCCAGTGCTTAATTCCTTAGGGCTCCATCCAGTTTTAAATACCCTGCCCGACACATCTCTCAAGTCGGTCTCTTCCGGGAGAATAAGTGCTATGTGGAAAAGCACAAGTTTGCTGTTCCTGTCTGAGAATGCATCAGCAGTCTGTTCTACCTGTGAGCCTGCTCCTGAGCTTCTGTCACTGCCTCCTCCCAGGGTTGTCTGCTCTCCCCCAACAGCCTGAGCCAGGCAGAAGCCTAGAGCTTGCTCTGAAAATGTAATTTTCCTTGTACTGTTGCTCTTTTGGCTGAGACCCAGGATCGTGCCAGTGCCATGGATTGGGGGTGGGAGAGGGCACATAGGAGACTTTGAGCTGTGTTTGATTACTTTTGACATTTTTAACAGGAAATGTGGTATGTAGATGCATGGATATATAATATAATACAGGGCAGAGATATCATAGCGATATGATGTACAGATGCAGCAATATTTTGTCAGTGTTATTTAAGCTGTATCAGCGAAGTAAAAGGAGGATTGCTAGCATGACTCTTCTGGAAAATCAGAATCTAGTGCAGGTCAGGACTTGGTGTCAGTCAGCTCTCCTTTCCTCCCAGGCAGATTTTGACTGGCAAATGCATTCTCTGGTGATCTCATGTGTGGTCCTGTGTTTCCAGAGCGTGGTGGGAGCTGTGGATTCTGACTTTATGTAGTTGATCTCCATGAGATTTAGTTACCCTATGAGGTTTCTTATAGCACTGAAGCTGTGGAAAAATGCGCCTGTCTTGGAGCAAGGGCCCTAGGAAGTGTCGTGAGTACTTTGCTTCTCAGTTGTGCATCTTCAGCAGCTCTGTGTGGTGCAGATTGTGAGGATGGCCACAGTGACATTCCTCAGTTCTTCCTGACTTCTATTTTGAAGTTGTGTGCTGATTTCCAATGGGCCAGTCTTTGCTGCTTTGGTTTGGCTTCCTTTCTTCAGCACCTCTGGCAGCCCTGAGAGGAGGGTACCCAGGAGCTGTTACTGGGGATTGGTGGGCATGGTTTCTGTTGCTGTATTTTGCACTTCATCAGCCTCTCCTGAGGAGGCAGTACCAGCCAAATTACATGGCGTGGAGGAGAGGCACCCTTCCTTCTTCTGTGGTGCCTGTTTCAGGTCATCTGCTCAGCATCAGACCCTTTCCTGGGAACAGGGAACTCTTTTTGTTTTCTTCCTACCTGAACTTGTATGAAACTCAAAGGTGGATAGGGTGATGGATTTGTTCTAATTGGGACCAGTTCCCGATGGCATTTGCAGTTGCCACAGGGTTCTACTCAGCAGGAGATACTGTGGGGGAAGCAGTTAGTGTCACTGGTACTTGCTTCTGATTTAAGAGAAAGCCACGCTATGGAGAGACAGGAGTCCTGCTCGCTGCCTGCATCCTTGGCCAGCAGATCAGCACTCGTTGGTGCCCAGGGAAGCCTGGGCCATGGCATGGCAGGAAGATGGAGCATGGGTTGTCTTGGCATGGCTATCTGAAGCCTGTACCAAGCCTTGGAAGTGGGTGTGCTGCTGTTGGGCATCCTGACTGGCTCCAAGTCCTGCTTGCTTGGGGCCAGACCTGCTGCTGCCCCTCTTCCAAGGCGTGAGATTGGCCATCTAAGACAATATGACTCCAAAACAAGCAGGGTTGCCTTGATGCCAGGTGCAACCCTGCACTGGAGAAACCAGTGTGAGGATAATGGGCTGCAGTGCCCTCAAGAGGGAAAGGAGAACCTGCTCTGCTCTTGCTGAGTGTGTGTCCATGCTAGGCACACTCAGTGCAATGAAGCCTGCTTCCCACTGGCTCAGCTCTTTATCAAGAGGTGGTCTGGGCACAGGTGGCTTCCCTGTATCCTGGTATCCTTGCTGAATTGTCAGATGGGTGCATCGGGCTGTGGTTTCCAGTCCCTTTTTCACTTCCTGTGATGGGAGGGCAATGCCTTCACCTGGCGTCATCCTGCTGTATCTTTCTGGGCAGCTCCAGGCAGAGGAACATGCAAGCTATGCCTGGGTATCTTTGGGAGACAGGATTTCTCCAATGCAGGCAGCTTGTCTGGCAGCTTCAGCTGGAGCCACTAGAGAAAACAGTACTTTGATGCTGGGTTTTTCTTCCCCCAAAGAGCTGGAGCTATGTTTGAGTGTTGGGTTTTTCAGCTGCGGCTCAGGATGCCTGGAATCCCAGCTGGGGTATAATGGGGAGCCTCCTCTGATGCTGGGGTAATAGCCTCAAGATGGCTTTAGGACTGTGTTGTGCACTGTGCCCAGAGGTGGGGCGTCACCCTGTTTGGTGATGAGCGCTGCTGGAGCCGAGTCCTGGGCCAGAAGCCAG